AACTTACCTCTGACTAAGCCGACACCGACTCTCAGAAAACTTCGAGCTTCTGCGCATCAGGAGGAAAAGGGTTGATTCGAAGATGTGTGTCTGTTTTGGCCTTACGGTTCCGGGTTTAGGGTTTAGGCGGTTTAGCGTGTAGGGTTTAGGGTTTAGGGGTTGGTATTAGGCTTCAGGCGTGTTTGAGGTCTCCAATGACAGGCTTCGGGTTCATGGCTTAGGGTTCAGCTTAGTCATATGGGTTGGGATGAGGTTATGTTGGGTGTTGCAAAAATTGTGGTGATGATCAGCTTGTTTTCAAAACTCGGCTTTGTTCGCACACAAATCTATGAAAGCTTTATGGCATAGGGATCGGCAAACCTTAAAGCTTCAGGGTTCCAGCTTCAGGGTTTGAGCGGTGGGGGCCCAGGAACTGGTCTGTGACAAGTCGCCACATCCTGAACGTGGGGAGTCTAGGGTTTAGGGTTTTTTTTCCCTCTTAGGGTTTAGGTTTAGGGTTTAGGGTTTTAGGGTTTAGGGCTTAGGGTTTAGTGTTTAGGGTTTAGGTTTAGGAGTTGCGATTATGGGCCCCCCCAAGTTTACTTCGCAACGGTGGGGTTCTGAACCGAGACCGCGAATCACAGTCCCCCACATCTTCTCAAGCCAACCCAAATCCATTCAAGGTTCCTCACTAAACTACACAGTTCTCACAATAGACCATTAAGTTTAATAGAAATCCTTCACAGGGTCGGTGATTTGGGGTCAGCGAAAGGCTTAGTCTGGCATATTCTTGCGTGAGAAATTACTGTCGAAGACCCCTACGGCGGAAGGTCCGATCGATAGTCCTACCCGAAGTCCTGAAGCCCAAAACCTAAACCCTAAAACCTAAACTCTAAAACCTAAACCTTATAAACCCTAAACCCTAAAAGCCTAAACCCGAAACCCGCAACCCTCAGCCTCAACGCCAAATCAAAGCTTGGCCACCGCCATCCCTAAACCGTAAAGCAAGACTAAACTAAACCACGAAGCCCTCAACCCTAGCCCCTAAACCCTAAGCTCTAAACCCTAAACCCTAAACCTAGCCCCTAAACACTTAAGCCGAAAGCTAGAACCGCCAGGGCCTAGGTGTTCTCTCGAGGCAAAGAAAGCAAACAACAGTGAAGTTCGGAGTTGAGGCATTGCGCGTCAAGTCTTGGAGGGATTTGGGGCTTTGCTGGTCAAGATTTTGGGGTTTGGGGGTTTAAACTGTAGGTTTGGGAGTTTGGGCGGGTTGGGCTTAGGAGTTTAAGGCTAAGGTTTGCAGGGTTTGGGAGTTTAAGGTTTTGAGGGTTTGGTAGGAGAAGAATGAAGGCTATGGGAGGTCCAAGCACACTCACATGAATGCCTGCGAGCTGGAGGTTAGGGCTAAGGGATCCGGGCGTCGAGGTTCTAGGATCGGTTTAGGGTGGGGATGGTGGGGGTGTGTATGTATGTATATATATATATATGTGTATATATAGGCTTTTAGCATTATGTCCAAGGCTGAGGTCCAGGGGATCCTTGGAACGGCCCCAAAGCAGTGCCCAGCCAGGAAAACGGCCGTGCCGGAGGCATTCGCACTTCTTCGACTTTACCGCCTCCTTTTTTCTCGTAGCTTTCCTGAACTGCCCAGTACCGGTTGTTTCTTGTCACCCGGGCTTTCAACTCCTCCTCATGCCAGATGTCCAGTCCACATTGGTGCCCTCCAACCCATGCACAGATCCACAAACACGAGGGAACCCCGCATTAACAGGAAAGAGTGGAAATCCCAGATCACTGGCTGTGCCTGCTGCTTAAAGCTTCATGGTTAGATACACAAGTGGGATTCTACTTACCTGGTATCTGACCTGGGTATGGAGTAGGAATATACAACAAACAACCATACAGTTAACATCCAGCACAATTTTTCAACAGGTACTCGAAGTTTCAGCAGATTGTAAAGGCTTGCGCTTCAACAGTTTTGGATCGGAAAGATCTTTTCGAAGGCGAGGGAGGCTGAACCCCTAAGCCTTCTGTTGAACTCAGGCTCGTGGCGCTAGCTGGGAGGACCACACTCCGATCAGGGGTTAATCCCAAAGCCCTATAAGCCCTAAACCCCCTAACTCCCAAACCTTAAGCCCCCCAGCGCTAAACCCCAAGCCATTATAGTAACACTTATAAAGGAAGCCTATAAACCCTTACACCCTAAGCCATTATAGTAGCCCTTAAAGGAAGCCTATAAACCCTTACACCCTAAACCATTATAGTAGCCCGTAAAGGAAGCCTATAAACCCTTAAACCCTTACGCAATTATAGTAACCGTTGAAGGAAGCCGATAAAAACCCTTACACCCTCAGCCATTATAGCAGCCCTTAAAGGAAGCCTATAAACCCTTAAACCCTCAGCCATTATAGTAGCCCTTAAAGGACGCCTATAAACCCTTTAACCCTAAGCAGCCGTTGAAGGAAGCCTATAAAACCCTTAAACCCTTAGCCATTATAGTAACCTTTAAAGGAAGCCCTAAACCCTTACACCCTAAACCCTAAACCCCTAAACCCTAAACCCCTAAACCCTGAACCCTTAAACCCTTTGGGGCCCGGGCTGGGTAGAAGATCCCACCGCCACACCAAGGGAGAGGTCCTGGTAATTCATGGTTTACACGTTTAGCCCAAACAAGCTACACCTTTAGGGTTTCGGGCCGTTTGGAGGTTTAGGGGTTTGGGGTTTAGGGGTTGAGGCCTTTTGAAGATAAGGAAATCATCGCAAGGAGCCTTAACATCACAGCCGAAGATCCTAAAAGTGATCCTATGTGAGACATCAACTAGGATGCCGGATCCTGAACTTGAGACGCAACACAGGTCTTGCAACCTTCCCTAGGCCGTGCATCCTTTACATACACTCCGAAACCTGAAGCTTATAATGATCTGCCGAGAAGCCGATGAGTAGAATTGGGGCTCTGATTCTGGAGTTTAGAATGCTGCTCCGCGTGCCCCTTCGAGACCTGTGTTGTCGTGCGTGCCTACAGCTCGTACAACACCCCCTCGAGGAGTGTGAAAGTCCAACAACTACTGGTACGGATTTTAAAAAAGGTACTACCGGGGGATGGCCAAGTCGGAGAGATACCCTATGTTACTCTAAACCCTATAAACCTAAACCCTAAAGCCTATGTTACCCCAGCCCTTATAACCCGAAAGGCCCGAGTCTCTTTTTGTTGGTCCTTCGGCCGTCACTGTACATCCTGATTGCTCAGGTCTGCAGGTGCATGATGGGGGCTTGTAAGTTCTAGATTAGAGTTCTTGCATAAAAGTTAGGGTTTAGGGTTTCGGGTTTTGTGCTATTTTGGAACTCCAAAAGCCGCTTCTTCAAATTAGGAGCCCCCAGTATTCGTTGACACTCACACTCGGACAAGCCTGGTAAGGTCTGCAGGGATACTGCAGGGGGACTATTTGTTTTTTGCTTGTTGTTGTTGTTTTTTTTGCTGGGTTCTTGTTTTATTAAGGGATTTAATTTTGGTTACCATAATAAAAGAAACCATATATCATTTGCTATTGATCCCCATTATGGTAACTTAAAATATATCATGTACTATAGGTCCCCATTATGGTAACTTAAAATATATCATGTACTATAGGTCCCCATTATGGTAGCTTAAAATAGCTCCCTGAACAAGAACCCCCCGTTTGATGAGGGGCTCAGCAACCGACACCCAGATCGAGGCTGGCAACCGGGAAGGCTCCAGCTCTGAGGATTTTTGTTGCTTTGGTTTAGGGTTTAGGGTTTAGGGCTTAGGGTTTAGGGTTTTTTTTTAAAGTGCACTGATCCTTTCACTCCGCAGAGGTCCACGATCTGCCCGAAGTCAGGCATACACCTACACTGGCACTCAGGAGTTGTAGTAGACGCCGAGCGAACCATCCCAATCGCACAGGTAGAGGACAAAAGACAGGAGGACCACGTAGACACACAAGGCATAGGGAGCACCCCCAGATCAGTGTCAATCCAGATGTGGAGCATCCCCATCAGGAGGAGGAGCGACCACAAAGCCAACCTGGTCATCACGAGCTTCCACAGCACTTGGGAGCCCACCAGCCTCTTCAGGACCAGTCACCATGCCACTCAAAGCGACATCCTCTCCACTCAGATCATCACCCTCGTGGAACTCCGCGACTCCATCAAGAGGTAGAGATTCCATAACTGCTGAGTCCATCCCAACCCCAAGGCCAGGATCCATAGGTTCGTCACCAGGCACAGACACGTTGCCAGGAACTCCATAGCGGGGACGAACTGCAGGACGATCATGACGACCACCACGGTAGTACGGCCCACCACGTACAACATGCTGTGACGGGGCAACCACCCCCGACGAGCGCAAAAGATGCCACAGCTCCGCCACCACCAAACGTGCTACCTCACGCGCCAGTAGGAGCTCTCGAGCACTGAGCACAGGATACATCCCCTCACGGCTAGCATTCGCGACCTCAGTGGGAGGAGGTGAATCAATATCACCAACGCCCGCCCCAAGTGGCATCTCCGCATCATCCCATGCGGGGCTCATCCTCGGCGTCGTTGACGTAGTCTAATGCTAAGTCTTCCTAGAATACCCAATCCTCTACCTAAGTCTACACCCTCACTTCTTCACAGTCCGCTTCTTCCGGCGGGGTGGCTCCTCCCCAAAGGGCCTATAGGCCGCCCTCAGGACTCTTTGGTCCTCCCTCTCCAGCCACCCGCGCCACTTCTTGCAGAGGTGTCGGCAGAGGTCGCGCCCCTTGAGCGACTTGCCTTCCACCCAGGCCGGCCCCGTCAACGGCGACTCACGGCCTGATTTAAATTCGCGGAGGTACGCAACCATGGCGTGAAGCCCGAATGGGCGCACCTCGTAGGTCCGCTGGAGCCCTGCAGGGAACCCAGATACACATCCCGAAACAAGAAGACTCTCCTAATAGTTACCTAGGAACCGCACGGAAAGAACCTAAGACCCTGGGACCCACCGACGCCTATCGAAACCGTCTAGCCACCAGAACTAGGATTTATTTCCCCTCACCTTCGGCACGACAGCGGACGGTGCGGCGCCAGCGACGTCGACTGAGGTCCGCCAAGTGCGTGTGCCTCGCCTGGGGTGTCCAGGAAGCCCACGCCTAGAAGAACTCGAAGGAACCCAAAAGATACCCTAGATTTCTACGCTGTTTAATCACACCTTATAACTCAGACCAAGGACCTCGTACGCCCTGACGCCTTGCTTGGTCTGTGTCTCGAAGACACTGACCTCGACGTGCTCGTCCTGAAGGAAGTCAGTCGCTAGAAAACAAAACCTCGTCCTCGTCCCCGAAAGAAACACAAAAAGCAACAAGGACACCCCCGAACTGGAAACCAGAACCGAACCCCGGAACTAAAAACCCGGAACCCGAACCCCTGAACCTCGTCAATCGCGCTGAGGCCCAGGGGGTCAAAGCAGTCGTGCACCGTGCCGCAGCTGAGGCAGCAAAACTTGCAATCCTGCTGCAGGGAACTCCCCCCACTCCCACCCTTCTCGTGAAAGGAAACCCTGTCGTGAGCGACCCCGAAGGAACTGAAGAACCCTGAAAAGGAACCCATCCGTAGAGCCTCGTCGTACTCCATGCTTCCGCACTCCTGGCAAACAAAGTCTCCCTCCGCATAGCGCAAAGTCATGATGGCCAGAAAGGCACGAAGGAAGGGAGGCAAGAAGCACGAGAGTTCGAGGCTTGAGCAGCGCTGTAGCGTCCAGACAAGTCCAACCCCTCTCCCCCTAAAACCTAAACTCTGCATTGCAAAGAGCAACAAAGCTAAGAGGACTTCGAGGGTCCTTCTAGGTTGGAGGAAGGCTAGCCTGGCCTATTCCACGCTGCTCGCTAAGTTTTTGGGCTTGCCAGCACACGAAAGATGAAAAGCAAAGCGTACCTGAGTCTACCTACATTGCGAGCAAGAACGCCATCTAGAACTCCAGGGTCCTTACAAGTTGGACGATTCTTCGAAGCTTTGTGTATGCGCAAGCCAGAGGGTTTAGGGCTTAGGGCTTAGGGGGGCGGGGGTTCCGGGCTGAGGTTTAGGGCTTTCGGGCTTCGGGTTTTAGGGTTTCAGGTTTCGGGCTGCGCGGGTTTCGGGGCGTGGGTCCGAGGGGGCTTATGGGTTTTGGGGGGTTCTCCGAAAAGAGGGGACCCTAATGTAGCACCCTAAATAGTAGGATCCTTGTTAGTTACAAAGGACCGCAAGGTAAGGTACCCCTACTTTTCGGAAACTCCCATTTGGGGGATCCCGAGTACAAAACCCATGGGAAGCAGCAGGTCACTCAGGGCTTAGGGCTTAGGACAACTCTACAACTCGAAGCCCTGAACTCTGCACCCGAAACCCGAAACCCTAAACCTGAAACCCGAAACGCTAAACCGTAAGCTCTGCACCCTAAACCGTACTACCTCAACCCCGAAGGCCTTAAGCCCTCAGCCGTAGCTGTACCGTCCATCCTGAAACTCAAGCCCTAGAGGTCCTAGATCTTTTTTCCAGGATCCAAAGATTCGACGGGGCCTTGTAACGGCACCCGCCTTTAGGATCGTTTCAAGGTGAGGGTCTAAGGTTCAGTGTCGGGGATATAGGTTCAGGGTTTAGGCTTTAAGGTGCGGTAGCTCCCTGCAGGTGAGACTGGTGAGACTCGCCAAGCTTCCTGTCAAAGAAGATTGCTGTGGGACCTTTAAACGCTTATCACCGGGAGAACAACAATTGCGGCTGTGGAGGGCAACAAAAAGCATGAGTTTGGTCTAAGTCAGAACCCCCTCCATGATCTTTGTTGATGGAAACTATAGTCCACACTACTTAAGTGCGGGGGCAAGCCTTACCCTCCAACCCAGTCTCCTCAAGCAAACGCTGAACCCAAGAGTCTGAAAGGAAGGATAAACTGAGACTTGATCTACGTGCACCGTCAGTGCCAGAATGGCTTCAATTGGCCTGGGAGTGCGGGCTCAAGCGGTTTCTCTCACCTTCCCCTAACGCAGAAGGTTCCAGTAGTTTATGTAACTCGTGCCCCCTCGCAGTCCTTGTTACTTGTAGTGTAGCATATACTCCCAAACCCTGTTGATAACTACACCTGTACAGCTATACGACTCCTGGTTCAGCAAGTTCGGCCCGCCGGTTCAACAGTTACATGCTTTTTTTGTTGCGGTTTAGGGTTTAGGGCCAGTTGCAACGTCACGCCAGGGGAGCTGCTACACGCCTAAACCCTAAAGACCTAAACTCCCTCACTCAGTCCACACTTCTGACCATGAACACCTTTGTTTTGCCCACTCGCTGGAGTAGGCTGTCCACCTGCACCACCTCAAAACTTCAAAACTCGATTCTATGATTTCAATTAGTAACTATTATTCTTTTTAGTAGCACTAAAATTATTATAGTTATTATTGTCTGGGAAGCTCGGAACAAAACTCGTACAAAATCAAGAAAGCAGCTCAAGGCACCTGTGCTGAACTGACTGCTGTTATCTTTTTCCCTAACCATGCCTGAACTTCTCCTTCTTTCTCCTCTCTGTCTCCCTCTCCAAAGCCGCACCCCGAAACTAGCGCCCTCAAGTGCTGTGAACCCGAAACGGTGCACCCTAAAAGCCTTGCGCCCTAAAAGCCTAAAGCGCCTGTAACCTAACCTTCAACCCTCCCTCGTTGCCTCCCTGAGTCGTTTGGTTTTGCACAAGTTCCTGCCGGGCCTTATTAAGGGGTTCGAAAGCCGAAAAGTTCTCAAGACTCACAATAAGGCTCCGGGGATTCTTTTTGGACTATAGGACTATCAAACGATAGCATTCTGACTCCTAACTCAGATCCCTTGCAAGCTCTCGCAGAAGCCTGCAACCCAGAAACCCTATGGGCCAGAAGCCCCGGGGAACGTCCACTTTTGGGCTTATGTGCGAGTATAGCGTAAGCCCGAAGTAATAGGATCCTCACTGCAACGACCCTGTCAAACCAGGACCCCTGCGGTTGGTGATTTACATCCTGCCCTACCCATAATGAGGAATATGCCATAATTCCCATAGTTTAGGGTCCCTAAGGTAATGCAGGATTTTTATCATCAACAGTAGTTTGAAGAAACAGCCAAACCAAAATTAGACACCTGAGCACGCTAGAACGCCAGTGACTTCCAAGAGCCTTTAGGGCCCTGAACCGCGAACCCCAAACCCTAAACCCTGAACCGCGAAGCTTTATTCAGCTCGCGCCTGCATCGCTCCTTGGGTGCTCCTGAGGGGGGGGGGGGGGGTGGNNCCCTATTTAAGGGTTAAGGGTTTAGGGATTTGGGTTTAAGGGTCCCTCAACCCTAAACCCCAAAGCCCCAAACCGCAGGATTCAGCATGTTCGAGTTGCAGATTGTGGATGGTAGGGTTAGCTTAAGCCTAAACCCTAAACCCTAACCGGCTTAAGCTTGCTTTTAGTTAGAACTTTGGTGGTGGATCTTAGAGTGGGGGCGGGCTCTCCGATATCCTATGGCCCTATGGGGGTTCTTGCAAGCTTTTCAGGGCGACTCGTTAGTTTCATGGGTTTAGGGTTTAGGGTTTAGTCATGAGGGCTACAAATACAAGGTGTCGCCATCTTACTTCTGGAAGCTTACCATAAGTCGTATCTGCCCAAGAGCCGGGGGGAAGTCGCATACCAGGCCAGTAAGACACCAAGCCCCAACCCAAGGTGTCTTTTCTGGGATCTGCGAGGTCTTCCTAGGGTGCTGTCAGGTGGCCATATGAATTAAAGAAAGGTCTGTAATTGCACAGCTTCGCCTCAAAGGATGCAGATCAGACTAGACAATTCTGTGTCTTGAGCCGTCAGCTCCGAATCCTGCGAGACTAAACCCATAAGTGTTTAGGGATTAGGGCTTAGGGTTTAGGGCATAGCTTACACCTGGGCCAACCCTAAACCCTTATGCAAGGCCTTCTTTGGGCTACTTGCGTAGCTCTCTTCAATTAGCGTCCCTTTTTGGGGTCCCCGACATGGTAAGGCACCCTTATCAAAAGGACCCTAAAAGGAACCCTAAGAGAACTAGCTACTTGGACCCTAGGGCAAACTTCAGTCTAGGGTGTAGGGTAGCTTCAAGGCTCCAGCTTCGGCAAAGGCTTAGGGTTTTGGGTTTTTTTTGGTGGTTCAGTGGTTCAGGGTTTGGGGCGTAGGGTTTCAGCACTCACACTCGGACATGCCCGGGCGAGGGTTTAGGGTTTGGGGCTTAGGTTTGGGTTGAGGATCTATCGGAGCCTGGACACTGTAGAATAGAATCGTTGGGACCTGTTGGCTCAGTTTCTTCACTTGCTGGCTCTTTGGATGGTTTAGGGTTCCGTGTTTGCCTCTGGAGGGCTTGGTTTTAGGGTTTTGGGGTTTAGAGAGCACTGATACCGTGCAGATCCCCTGGTTCCTCCCGAGGAAGCCGTCAGCTTCGTGTGCGAGAATTCACGGTTTCATACCAATTGGGGGCAGGGTTGGGATACCCTGCGAAGTGTCTAGGCATTCCATTGCCAAGTTTGTTCGATGGCGGACACTTTCTTGAGGCCCTTTACATTGTCATCACCATCGCCACTCATCGGCATCACCAACAGTACCACCATGATATAAATCTTCATGTTTCGCTCTATCCTCACTATCATCATGACCATCGCATCGTCGCTGTCCCAATCATCCGACGTCAGCGCTGTCAGCACTCAGCGCAGATTTGGACATTCATCATCGTGCTGGTCGTCCCTTCTCTGTGTTAACAAGTTCTCGCATCAGAAGCAGACTAGTACACTAGCTCATGAGTCGGAGTGTGTAGTTGCAGCAAGACGGACAACAACAAATTCGCCAGAGGAGGGATAATCCGCACGTTAGAGTTTACTGTTCCGGCTGTGAGGGCTTAAGGCTTTGCCGAAAACATCCGGGGCGGACATGGAACAGGTCTGGCCCCTCAAACCCCGAAGGGAGAAGAGGATCCTGCATGGTTGAACCAGTGCGTAACATAGGGGCCTGAATAATTACGCATGGAATTCCCAAAATAGTATAGGCTAATATGAATTTAGGCCCCTACATTACGTCATTTGGCACACTCCAGTTGCTGCTGATGGACACAACCCTGCACTACCATCCCCTACTAGTAAGTCGTGGCCTCTATGGCCAATCTCTTGCAAGACGTATGGGTGATAGCAGCTATGACAGGCAACGGAAATAGGCCCACTAAGCGCCACACTTCTGGTGCTGATCCCGCGGACTCCGCTCCAGCTCCCTGGAAAGAGCTTTCCTGGCACGGAGTTCAGGTTTTGAAAGTTTATGGTCTTAGAGGCCGGAGTCCAGTTGTAGTTAGGGCTTAGAGGCTTGTAACTGCCTAACTGCGAACTGTCTGATTAAAATAGTCCCCGCCCTAGAATCCACATAAAAGGGCAGGGGGCTTACAACATCACGAGTCTTCATTATGCGAGATTACTATGGTTCAGACCACAGGACACATGCTCTGTTTCCCGCCCACAAAGGCTCGGAAGTTGATAGTGACGGTGTAGCCGTCGAGCAGTGGAACGATGCAGCGCATCTGGTTCAGGACAGGGGTTGGGGCTTACATGAACCCTAACCTTAACTTAAACCCTAAACCCTAAACCGTTTATAAGCCCCTTCAGGCTGCCAATCGGAAACTTACGGAGGCTAAGCCAGGCTCTTCCCTGATAGAAATGAACAGCTGCCTCTCGGAGGCCCCAGAAACGCAGAATCCCAATGCAGCAAGCAAACACAGGACTGGGGAATGCAAGAATCGATGTTTGCTTTTTTTGGGGGGTCTCGTGCTGACATGTACAGTGCCCGAGGAATCCGGAGACTTAGCTTTCTGTTCGGACCACAGGTTCTTTCTGACCCTGCGCATCAGCCGGCTCACGATTCGTAGCCCTCTGTACAAGGCAGTGGCGGCTCTGCATCGACCGCTGCACTGGCCGACTGTCAGCTGGGCTAGGACCCCCGCTGGTAAGCGGAACATCCACTCCTAAATTGACTTTTCGCACTCTATTTCGGAACCCTCACGCCCGAAACCCAAAGATGTACAGTACCGGGAGACCTAGTCCTAGTACAGCAAATACGGATGGCTCCAATTCAAAGCTCAGCACACAGGCAAGTTTGCAACGCTGGCACACACTCGTGCGCATCTTCGACAAGAACCGGTCGGTGTACAGGTATATACTTTGACAACCAGCGGGAGATGCCAACAAACAAACGTGCTGCCACCTGCGCTGGCATTCGACTGCTAACGTCCCGAATTTGAACAGAACCACTTTCTCTAACGGTGTCTCAGGATTTCTGGACAACCCGGACTCAAGCTACGGGAAAAACGTCGTGGCCTTCGACCTCCTTGGTAGGAGGTTGAAACTGGACTTTACCGGAAATGTCAAGGATGTCCTCAGTCGTCGAGTCCACAGGTTCCACTAAGTTCACGGTGCAGGACTTAAGGCTTCAGGATTGTAAGGGCGTCAGAGTCAATTTTTGGGGGAGTCAGTTTTCAGGGCGCAGGGTTTGGGAGTAAGGGGTCACATCTTCCGGATAGTTTAAGGGTTAACGAACCCAGATGCCAAGTGTCCTTGACCTGCAACTCCTGCTTCATGAAATCAAAGGAGCTGTCAGCAAGTCGTGCGCTGCCGGAGCAGGCACTGTAAAGCTTTTCCAGATCATCGATCGCATTGATGACATCCTCTGTGCTTGGCACGCCCCTTTTCACGACGTTGTAAACTACCACCGTGATGGTGACGTGCTCTGACTCATGGCGTTTCGGCTCCTCAGTTCCCCCTGCCTCGCCTTCATACTAAGGGTATATATCCTTTCTGCCCTAGGTATATACAGTAGGTTGTAATCATATGGCAGTTGTGGAAGTTTTGAAAAAAAAGAAAAAGGAAAAAACAAGGTTAGCACTGGCAGACCCAGGATCCTTGACTGACAGTCCGGGCCACACATCGAACTCTGAGCCACGGGAGACCCGGGCGGCGCTACTTCGACCTGTCCTCCCCCTGCTGCGGCTCCGATCCCGGTCGCTCCCCTTGCCCCTGCTGCGGTCGTCCCAGGCCATGCTTTTGAGGCATCCCTTCCCGAATGCCGAGCGGGGCATCGACTCCGCCGTTTTCAGAGCCTGAAGCGTGTCCTCCTGCGCGTAGCAGCTGGTGGTCGTCACAATAATTTCCCCTCCTGCGCCGTAGGTGACCGTGCTCAGGCAGCTCTTGCTGGCAAGGTCGGTCATGTACTTCGAGGCCGAAGACCTGTAGATAGTCCTATCTGTAGCCCGAAACCATACAAAATAGCACGTGATGGTCGCATAAGTATAGGGTCATACATCATCGGAGTCCCGTGTAAGGTGTCACAACGAAGTCGCGCATCGGCTGAGAACTCTGAAAACTAATTCTCTCTGTCTCGTATTAACAAAAAGCGTGCCTTCACATTCAGGGGTCTTCATAACCAGAATCCTTTTCTCCAGGGTCTATACTAAAATCCTGAATTTCTGAAACTCCCGAGGAAAGACCAAGGCACTGCCAGCTTTGGATGCACGCTGGCAAGCCCCCGAGGGTGGGCGAGGTGCGAGCGCGCTGCTTCAATGGAACCTCGGCTGATCGGAGTATAGGTTGGGCTTACCCTTTTCAGCATGGGCTTGCATTGTGTGCCAACGAACACTTCTCAACAGCAGCAGGGCCTTCTCGTTTAACCCCAAAACCCCTAAACCCTAAACCCTGTGGCATATTACTGGTTTCAAAATCTTGATCGCTTCGGGCTTGTGGGTGCCCGAGGGTTCTCGCGGCTGAGGTTTCCACACCAGTTCCACAAGAATGGTCGGGGCACTGCAACAAACTAGGGATCAGGATCCACATGTCTGATGGGAAGTCAGTTGAATCTTTGCAAACACACTGACATCGCTAGAGAGAGAGGGAGTCCACCACCTCGGTCAAGTATAGCAAACCCTAAACCCTAAACCCTGAACCCTAAACCCTACAGGTTAGGGCCGAGATGGGGCCTGAGGTCTGCATTACGGTTGGTGATATAAACCCTGCATTACCCCATAATAAGGAAGGAGTGAGTTTAGGGTTTAAGGTTTAGGGCTTTAGGCTTTAGGGGTTTTTAGGGTTTAAGGCATTACCCCGTAATAAGGAATATACCGTAGTTCCCATAGTTTAGGGTCCTTAAGGTAATGCAGGGATTTTCTATCATCAACAGTATCATAATAGGGATCTACAGTGTATAATATGTGGTTTCCTTACTAGGGTAACTTAAATAAAATCCCCTAACAGTCGCCCGAATGTAGGGGTTTAGGGTTGGAGGGTTTGGGGGCTGAGGGCCGAGGGTTTCGGAATTCCGCTTGAGTCGCATCCGAAGCGACCGTAAAAAGCCTCAACCGTCACCAGGGCCCCGGACTCAAACCTTCCCTAAACCCAAGACCCCACATGCTTCGACCTGAGCTTGGGGCCTGGATGGTCATCAAGACGTTGAAGCGCTGACCCATGGCCGTGATACCGATCACGCTGGAAGTGGCCTTGCCTGCAGGCCAGCAGAATTGGGGATGAATGGGGCCTACTTTAAAGGAAACTACAGGTGGGGAGTTCAGGGTTTATAGGGCTTCTATAAGGCTTCTATAAGATATATAGACCTTCTACAAGGCTCCTATAACGGTAACTACCCACCTGAAAATGTCCTAGACTCATGTGAACTACCCTGACCGGCCCTCTCCTGCTCTCAACATTTTCGGTATATACCCTAAATCCCAAATAAACACGGAAGGATGTCACAATTAGTCTATGCTCTCAGTACGAGCCGCAGAACCCACAACACAAGAGAATCGAAGGACGCTACAAAGACTAAGGCAAAATGGGCTACAGCAATCTACACACCCGAACCACGAGTCGACTGAATGGTTGCACCTGACGTTCTCTTGCCCGGAGGCTCGGTTGACATCAGTACTACACAAAGCCGGATACCCTGAACCCTAAAACTCAAAACCCCAAACTCTAAAATTCAAAACTCCAATCCACAAGCCCTAAATCCCTAAACCCTCAAACC